TATGTATGTATGTATGTATGTATGAAATGCGTAGGTAGGTAGATGGTGGTTGGATGGATGAATAGATAGATGGAGTCGGTAGGTGGATGGGAGGAGAGAGAGAAAGAGAGAGAGAGAGAGAGTGAGAGAGAGAGAGAGACATATATGGTCAACTAGAGTCAATGTCTTTTCAAATACAGAAATTCTTTCTCAACACCTGTGAAACCCTTTAGATCCCTACCTTCTTACCTGCAATAACTTACAAGGTATTTAATTAACAAACACCATTGTCAACTCTTCTTTCCAAGGTCTCTGTGTGATCATATAGTCTACATTAGTAGTTAAGGGCATGGTCTTTAAGACCTGGGTTTGCATCTCAGCTTAACTAATTAATGCTGCATGACCTTGAACAAATCCCTTGGCCTCTCTAAGCTGGGGGCTTTCCTCTGAAGAATGGAGGTAATAACAACCTTGCAGGTTGTCAGGAAGATTAATGAAATAATGAGATCAAGCCCAGACCACTGCTCCAGACAGGTATTGTTATTGGTCAGAGCCGACATGTACCCTCTTGAAGCATTTGTTCTTCACAAGGCACCTGCTGTGTGTTGGTTTTTACCTGAGCATTATGTGTCTGGTGGTAAATAAGATGGATAAAGTCCCTCATCCCTTGGACCTTATGCTCTAGCAGAATGCTCAGATAATAAACAAGCAAACACATAAACAACTTCAGATGGTGCTAAATGAAGTGCAGAAAATTGGAACAGGTGAAGTGAGGGATGGAGAGTGAAGATAATCTTTTATTGGACTTGTGCTGGTGACAGGAAGGTGTAACCACACTAAGCTCTAGGGAGAGGGTGTCCAGGTACCAGGATTCACTGTCAAAATGCACAAGAACAAGGAGCTTGTGCAGGTATAAACAAGAAAGGGAGGGGTGAGCTGGCTGTGGAAGAACTCAGAATAGAGGCCAGAGGATTTGCTGTGTCGATCTGTGAAAGCCACACAGTTTTGGGTTTGGGGGGGTTGGTTTGGTTGGGTTTGCTCGTTTTGTCAATCGTAAAAAGAGAGGAATGGCAGGGTGTTGGTGGCACACACCTTTAATCCCAGCACTCGGGAGGCAGAGGCAGGTTGATCTCTATGAACTCGAGGCCAGCCTGATCTACAGAGCGAGCTCTAGGACAGGCTCCAAAGTGATACTGACAAACCCTGTCTCAGGAGAGACAGAGAGAGAGAGAGAGACAGAGAGAGAGAGAGAGAGAGAGAGAGAGAGAGAGAGAGAGAGAGAGAGAGAGAGAGAGAGAGCACAGTT